CTCAAACTTATCAGGTAGAACTTTTCATCTTCATCTCATATCAAACACTTGTAATTAATTTGCTTGCACCACTTTCTTTTTTGATCAGATTCAACACTAAAACCGACTACGACTCTCTTGCTTGAACTTTCCCATGCTGTCAGCAGTTAACTTACTTTTACTTTGAGTTCTGATTGATTCCTTATGATATTTTCCTTGTTCCAAAAGGTGACATTTAGATAACTTTGGTTTGGCTTCACAACACCTAATTAAAAAGCATGCTGATTTACAATTATTAGATGAGGTTGAGCATGATAGCGATAATTATCAAGGCCAAAGTTTGTGTTATCTGCTGAAGCCGAAGGCCTTGATAATTATCACCATCATGTGAAAACCGACTCCAATAATTTTATTATGCATATTCCTAAGCTGCAAGTCTAAAGACAAGAGGGCGTAAAACTATTGTCTGTAGGTATGACACCATTTCTAAATATTAAATAAAATCTATTGTCTGTAGGTATGATGTAAGAGAATGTATAATAATAATGATTTCATTGTAATGTTTCTGCAGAAGGAAAGCTGAGAAATATCGAAACGGATGAACCCTTCAAGTTCGAAGTGAAAGAGGGTGACAGGATGTATAACCAAAAACATTATGAGGCTCTAGGAGAGGTATGATTCGTAGTAAGATTTGACATGTAGTTAAAAGGTTTTTCATTGAGATATTAAGTATCAGTCAGCATTCCAAGCTCACCTTTCTTTAACGCAGCCATTTGGCTGTATAAAATCATAAAATACATGAAGTTGCCAGAAACAAAACTTTGGTCTCAAAAAAGAGACTTTGTGCAATATTACATAACGTAACATACAAAGCTATTGACCTTGTCTTTGGAATAAACAAGCATTGTTTTCAGTTTTCAAGATTCACATCACATCTCAATCAGGGGTAATACTCAGTCAGCCAGTATCATGATGGTAAATTAATTGTTTAATTAATAGAAATCTATGTGTATTTTTAGGTAATCACCGAGTATATCTACCATTTACTGGAAGAAGATGTCAAACTAAAGAAAGTTACTGTTCCAGTAAGTGAAGCTGAACAACAGCATGAACAACTTTGATTTGTACTTTTTGTATACTCATAACTTCACACTCATGGTTGTCGCCAACCATTGGCTGACAGCGAAATTCGCCAGATGAAAAGGCAACAATTGCTGGCTGGATTTTTGGCTGATGGTGAAGCACATTACCGGCTAGCTTACACACTTACAATTGCTCACTATACGTTTATTAGCCTCCTCACTTGAAATTTCAGCAAGCAGTGTAATTTCTTAGCTACAACCCTGTACACTATAGCAGGGGACTTATTAGAAAGGTAAAAAAGGCAGAGTACTAGCTGTAACTAGAAATAAATTCTCCTTCAATTTTCTTAATTATTGTAGGTTGATGCCAAAGATGAGGTTACGAGTTTCTTTTTCATGAGTGAGGATGCAATGAAAAAGGACAAGCTGATGATCCTTATTCATGGCAGTGGTGTCGTCAGAGCAGGACAGTGGGCAAGAAGGTATGATCTTTTGTAATTTTTTCGTTATCATTATTTTATATATTATTCTTTTCTCTTTCTGAGTTTTTTGCCTTCTTTGTTTTCTGTAGTTTCTTTGCTCTTTTGCTCTATACATGTGCCAGGGTGCCCCATTTCTTTTAAACCCTACCCATGTCTAGCTTTACCTGCATACCTACATACATACATACATACATACATACATACAGACAGACGGACGGACAGACAGACAGACAGACAGACAGACAGACATACATACATACATACCTACATACATACATACATACATACATACATACATACGTACGTACATACATACATACATAAGCTTTATTCACTATAATCTACAGTCTTTCTAAAGTGGTCAGGGAGGGAGTTCCAGTACTTAACAGATGAATAGCTAAAAGAATTTAGACCATATGTGGTTGTAAACGGCTTAGGAAGTGATAAAATATTGGTGCCCCTTAGGGAGTAAGCAGTAGATCTTAGCTTGATCAGTTGTTTCAAATAGCACGGATATTTACCAAGATGGAGACAGTTGAATATACAAATCATCATATTTTGTATCGTCCTGTTGGCTAAACCACACACACCTGCTTTGTCTAAAAGATCATCATAGTGCAAGTCCCAGTCCTTTAAAACAAATCTTAAAATACGTCTATTTAAGGTGTCCAGTTTAACAGAGTCCTCTGAAATACAAAAGTGCTATATCATTGAACAGTAGGGAAAATGGGGTAACATAAACGTTTTATAAAGGCGAAGCATAATTTCGGTAGAAATGAGTTTGCCAAATCATTTAAAGACACTGAACTGATTATTTTTTTTTTTTACATACAGAGGATATGAGTTCCTTGAAATTAAGTTCATTATCAAGAATTATTCCAAAAAGTTCCAGGCATCTTGTGGTTGAGAAGGAGAAAGGGTAATCGGTTTTGCCAAGAACCATCCCTTGGTGTGTAGGGGGGTTGGCTTTCATCCCATTGTCTTTGAACCATTTGTTAGCTATTTGTACATCATGATTGATCCACTGTTCCAAGGCTACTGGGTCTAGGTCAGATGTGTGCAGTTGGCAGTCATCAGCATAAGTGTTTAGTTTTACAGAGTTAATGTGAAAGATGAGGTCATCGAGGAACATGTTGAAAAACATGGGTCCCAGGACGCTGCCTTGAGGCATGCCACGCTTCATGCTCATCCAATCCGAATGAGTATCACCAATTTTCACTTGCTGCATTCTATCCACTTTGTACACATGCACTGTTAAATTCTTTCCCCAAAAGGATGTCTCTCTTTAGGTATAATTGTCTTGTAAGTAATTTTTAAGATCTTCTTTCCTGTGTGGTAGGATAGTGATCTATAGTGGAATCACTTAATCTCAGTAATGTCACTATAATTCATTGGAAGAAACCTGCTGTGTTATTGTTTCTATTTCTCTCAGACTAATCATCAATGACGACTTGGAGAGTGGGACAATGTTACCATACATCAAACGAGCCACCCAGGTAGGATCTTTGACCTTTGAGTGAGCGAATCAAAGTAGCTTTTGATGCAAGTTCTCATTAAAGAAATCTTCCAATGGTGGAACAAGTTGCTGTTAATCTGACAAAAATGTATCATGATGATTCCTCAGAAAAACTGGGAAACAAGAAACAAATGCAAGTAAATTGGTAGAATTTCCTTGTGGGTGCCAGGAAATTTATTCTTATCATCGACAGACAATACAAGTAATTGAGAAGAATATGCTACCTTCCTATAACATCAAGAAATGGTTAGATATTCTAGTCTTCTCAGATAGGGACGAATAAATGAAGTTCCTGTCTCCTACAGGGTTAGGGGTAGGAGACGTTAATTTCCCATGCACGAGATTACTGTGTGATGGATGTCCTCCCCTGGGGGTGGGATGGGTGGGATTTAATGGGTGGACTACTCGCATGGATCACATATGTTCCGTTCTAGTCCTACCCTACTGCGGGCAGTAATGCAGTGAAAATGGATTCGAAAAATTTATTTAGAAAAAAATTAGAAAACACATCTTTTGTTTGTGGGAGTTCCGAGGGGATCACAAGGATGGTATTGGTAGCCGTCATATACATTATAACGCATTATACAATCCAACATGGCAGCTTGCACAGACTTTCACTTTCAAACCAGCTGATACATATCTGTTCAGACCTTTTCTCCCTTGTTACATGGCACTAGTCTAAACAACGTTTTTTTTTGGTGCCCGAGCAAAAATCTGAGCACCATACCCTGAGCACAAGCAGTACCTCCAGTGTAGTACTCAGGACTGCCATTGTTCAAGCATAATAACTTGGTCAATTCCTGACTTCCTATCCATGCTTCCTCTTGATGCAGTCACTAAAATGGTATATACACATATTGCAAACTACAAGAAAAAAAGTTGGGCACCAAGCTTTATGCTTGAGTTCTAAGTAAACACACCTGTTCCAGAGCACCAGTAAATTGGCTTACCAACATCCATTTTCAATTGGTGGCTGGGCACAGTGCCAATGAAATGGGCACCAAGTCTGAATGGCACCTTAGCCCTGATATGAACTCAACCTCCTAATCCATATTCCAGGGCACAAACTTTAAGAGTACCTCCCCAACTACCTTCTTTTAAAGTACCATATCTACCGGCATAGAGGCTGCACTTTTTTGATGAAAAACCACCTTGAAAGTTTACAGTGCCACCTATACGTGGGTGCAAGAGTTCAGAGCTCATTAATATTCAAAGTTTCCCAACACAATAATCAACAAACTTCCTAAGTTATTCACAGTTTTGTTCAATGCAATGTATGAGCTTATGTTAAAGTAGTCCATATCTTCCAAGGATGTTGATGAATCAAAGTAATTCTCCCAGTTTTTGTTTTGTTTTGAACAGGAAGGTTATGGAGTTTTTATCACAAATGGAAACGAAAACTATGTGCGGAGAAACAAATATAGAACAGCCATCAGGGTAGGTTACCAATGAAGTACTTTTATTTGACAATTAATTGTTTCACTAGACAGTGTTAACCTAGTTGATGACTAATTTTACCACCTGATAAATTCTATAATGCAACTTAGAGACAGAAACAGAACATCTACTGATTTTGGTACATCCTTCATCTTTTTTCCTTTTAAGGGTAGCGAATCCCCAGAGAGGCACTTTGGTTATGTATGGGACAACTTCATTTCCCAGGCTGCAGCTCAAACAATAGTTGTTGTGGCCCACAGTTATGGAGGAGTTGTCATTGTAGAAGGGGTATTGTAATTAAACTTATTAAAATATTTTGTTTGTAGAGTATATAATTATCTTGCATGCAGTAAAAGTTTGAGTTTCAAATGATGATGAGCTGATGAATTGAAAGCTTTAACATCATTGGTGCCTGGGGGGGGAGGGGGGGGAATCTGAACCTTGGGTGGGGAATTTAACTGGAAGTATCAAGTCTTTCAATTACCCAATAAATACACCACATGGTTCACTTTTGTGAGGAATAGCTCAGAGGAAAAGGCCCACAGGGTCTAGGTTTTAAAGATTGGTCAGTGTGTAAAAATCACGGTTGCTGATTTTACCTTTTATAGAAAAAACTGGGTTGGGCATTTAATAATATAATAATAATAATAATAGTTTAATATTTGTAGTGCACAAATTCCATTGACATGTGTTCAAATGCGCATTTGAACACAAATTTGAACACAAATTTGAACACAAATTTGAACACAAATTTGAACACAAGTTTTGAACAAATTTTGAACACAAATTTTGAACACAAATTTTGAACACAAATTTTGAACACAAATTTGAACACAGATTTTGCCACCTAGGGGCAGGAATTTTAACAAAGCAATCTTCAATCTGCCCAGGGGATTGCCAAGGGGGGGGGGGGGTGTTGAAGCTTCGTAATTGATCAAGGCATAACACTGTGCAATGCAGGAAGTCCCCTACTTCTAATTCTTGGTGTAGTCACTTTTTCTATTCCCATACTGTGATTGGTTGAATTTGTTGGAGTGACTTTGATATCAATAGTTGCATTGTAAACTGGTTCAGGTCATATAAATATGAATTTCTGTGCATTGTCCTTTTTATTCCAGCTTCAAAATTGTGAAGGTATCATGGAAAGGGTAAAGGCCATTGCGTTTACAGACTCTGTGCATAGTCTTTCACACCAAAGGGCTAACAAGAATCTTAGGGCATGGATGAAAAAGGTACTGGAAAATTAGTGGGGATTTTATAGAAGCTAGTCATATCAAAACAGTAGCCAGTAAAGGTTAAAATTTATTGCATATCTAGACAGATTTTTAACCATTTTGTCCCTTGATTTAAGAAGCCTATACTCTAGAAATGAAAAACACGAGTGGAGGATGCTTCCAGAGATGTTTGCCAATACTTTTTTACATTTATATTTGAGTGCTGGCAGTCAGTAAACTTCACCATTTCCTTTAGAGTGTCTTACCGGCTACTTACCCATTTACTCACGATGCCCAGAGTAAAACCTAATGCATAAACATTATACCCTAATACAGATGGAACACTGTCTACTTTTGTGAAAGAAACTTCTGCCTGGCCATGGGGTGGTTATTTGAGGAAATATAGTATTCTATTCTGATATGCATGATCCACCTGAAATTACATTGCTTTGGATACACAGTTGAAAAAAACCAGCCTTGTATTCTTACCGAATAGTGAACAACCTTTTTTATAAATAGAATGGGGAAATAAAACAAAATAAATCCTGTACAAAAAATTATTACATTTGACATTCGATTAAAAATAGCTCTGATGAGTCACTCATTTTTTTAATTTTTTTGTTGTTGTTGATGTTGTAGCATTCACGCAACTGGCTCTCCTCAGACCTTCCTTTGGATACTGTCATAGATTACGAAGGTGCTGATTGTGAGCTGGTTTCAGCTGGTAAGAAGATAGATACCCCCCTTCCTTTCTACAGCCTCTTTATTAAATTTCTCTGTGTTGTAATATTAGAAGCATTGTTTATTGCAAGCTTTTTCTCTCCGTACGCCTTAATGGCCTTATAATGGTAATTCAGTGGCTAGCATCTTCCAAAAGACACCATCTACTATTTATTACTCTTTCACCCCCAAAATATGCAGAAACAGATCAATTTTGTTTCTTCTGCGGTGTCCCAGCAATATTTTACACGTATTTGCGGGTAGAAATTAAATTATTCTCTCTGCCATGGTGACAAAACCACGCTCTTAGGGGTGTGATGTGTTGTTTAAAATACTCTCATGACCTTTGCTTTGGAGCAGTGCCAGACAAAATACTATTGTTCTGAGGCATCCGACTGCATCTAAGTCTGAAACTATTTTCTCACCACTATTAAAATTAACTTTTTATTTTAGCTCTAAGAATTTGGTGATAAATCAACCCCTATACCTTGGTTGGTGTGTTCTTCTCTTGGCAATTTTGCTTGAATACTTACGGAATGGTTATAGTAAGGAGAAACCACTCTTTGGTCACTCCTGAGTGTGAGAGGGTAAAGCAAATCCCCTCCCCCCTCCCCTCTCCCTCCACCACCCTACTCATACTAGATGATGTCAAGTGGGCAGTTGGAATTCTTAACAGCAGAAGGACATACTTAGTGAGGCATAGACATAATTGACGTATATGTTGTAGTTCTACTGATACTAATTTTTTTAGACCAAGAGTATGCACCAACATGGGAACATCATCTTTTATATTCTCTGCTTCAAAGATATGGGAAACCATACCCACTTATCTTAAATATATGCCCTGCAATAGCTTTAAAAAGAATGGAAACATCAACTTTTGCTCAACCAAACCTGATCATTTTACTTTGCTACTGATCTCCTCTTAAGGAAAAGTGGAAACTTTAACCTTGTTCAACAAAACCTAATCCTTTTACTTACTTTACTGCTGATTTACTTTTATTATAGGCTGCTATCTATTCATATGACCATTACGGTGTCCAACTCAATAGAAAGCTTTTGCTACTTTGGACACCGTGCACCTCTCAAACTTATATCTTTATGGCCAAATATTACTTTTATTCTTCTCTCTCTCTCCTATTTTTCTTATAAATATTAACTCCCATTAATAGTGTGAAATAAATAAAAGTTCAAAGTTCAATTTTATCCATGGCTCAAATTTTATTTTCCTTTGACGGTTTCAAACTCATTATCATACATTAACATGACCGAGAACAAAGGAAAATAAAATTTGAACCAAGTATAAAATTGAACTACAACATATACAATATGTCCCAGTTAGCACCTACACCACTTGTTGAAAGGACACTTGTTACCTATCTGTCTCCATGTGCAACGTTAATCTGTTAGATCCCATAAACACTATGATGCCGAATGACATCATAGAGCAAGGGAGAGGGGCAAGAGAACACTATGAAAGGAAGTGTACAAAGTGGTTTTGTCTCAATTAAATATCAAACGAACATTCTTAACGCCACTGTTGGTTATTTAATCTCAATTCATGAACACACTTAATTCATAGAGAATTAACATCTGTCTCTGTTTAAAAAAAAACACATTCATTTGAGGCTCAAAAATTCCTTGTTTTGTGATATATTTTTTTATAAATTTATGTCTCCTACTGTGATGACACTTGGTTATTTTTGTTTACAACTTAGAGTAGCGTTATGAAGTAATATTTCTTGTTATTAACTTTTCCCTTTATTTTAGGTACAATGAAACATGAGGTCACTTCACATGCAGCTTTTAATTCAATCTTTTCGTTCTTTGATGAGAAGCTCAAAGCTTCAAATCAGACTGATAGCTCTGAAAACACATCAGTTGGTCAGACCCCAATAGACAGTCTTAAAAGTCCATTGGAGAAAGTTGAAAATAAAATGGAAATCTCTGAAAACCAGGAAGTAAGCTCCGAATTGAGCCAAACCTCCCAGACTCAAGCTGATGCAGCAGAAAAGCAGGAAGAAGCCCTCAGAAAAATGGATGATTCCTCTGAGACTCTTCCAGATGCCACACAAACTAAAGAAGAAATGCCCCAGACTCAGGCAGATGTGTCACAAACCCAAGAGGAACCCTCAAGCAATGAAAAGTATTCCTTCCAAGCTCCGGCAGATTCAACACAAACTGAAGAAGAAATGCCCCCGACTCAGGCAGATGTGTCACAAACCCAAGAGGAACCCTCAAGCCACGAGGAGCATTCCTCCCAAGCTCTGGCAGATGCAGCACAAACTAAAGAAGAAGCCTCCCAGACTCACGCAGATGTATCCCAAGATGAACCCTCAGGGAATAGGGAGGATTCCTTCCAAACCCAAACAGGGGACACCAAGTCCCCAGCTGATGAAACTCACATGGAAGTTGATATAAATAAAGAGGGAACAGAAGTCTAAATTATGTAAAACATCTCTCCAATTATGTAAGACCTATCTCCTGTTCAATCATTTGGTGATAGTGAAAGGGGGAAAAAATGTGTTCAGCAGGTGAATTATCCAGTTGCCAATTCAGAACATGTCTTGTTTTCCTCATATCTGCTTGGTTTTCATGTCCACAGTTAGGCCGCACAATAATGAAGCAATATTTCACCAAGAAATTATCCCAAACTATGCAAAAGTTTAAAGTTGAAAAATTAAGGTGGATTGTATCTTTTCAAGCTTTGCCAATAGTGGTAACCCACTAGTAGATTATTTAAGAAATCTTTTTTAAAGCTATCAAGGTGATTTTAAAATAAAACACATTTTTAGACCATAAATTACTAAAATAAAAACTGTTAAATTTATCTTATATAGAAAAAAAATAGTATAAACTTCGAAGTTCTTGGAGTCAGAAACTGGTGACTCTGGCTGACATCCGAGTGTAGTCAAATAAATATTGCAGTGCATTTTGATGCATGTAGAATGAGTGGTTATGATGAAAGTGAATAGCTTCACACATTTATTGGAAATTTTGATCAAGGGTACTCCCAAGAAGCTGTTGGTAGGCTGTTGGCCAACTGTTGGTCTGTCAGGAGCCAGTTGGTAGCTTGTCCCTAGCCTGTTAGCTGACACCTTACCAACAATAAGCTGACAGTTGCTTGGGGGAGCTATGCTTTAAAAGTACCCATTTATCAACTCACAAAAACTATTATTTCTTATATTCTATAACACAAAAACTCTGATAAATGATAAGTACCAACTCATTTGATTATCAGCGATAACGCTCTTCTTTTTCTTGTTTATTCTTGACATGCAAAAACATGCCACAATATTACCTCTTTAAATATATATTTTTTATAACATAATCAACATAGGCATCCTCGGATTGGTCAATGCAATTTCCAAACAGATGCCTTATGATGTTATAGAGCCCCCATGCATGTAACTAGTTACATCCCAAAAGCAATAGGAAGCATTTTTTTTTCTAGGCTCAGTAATGTGATAATGCCACTATAGGAAGCATTTTTTTAGGCTCTTTAATGTGATAAATCCACTTGGAGGTTAGAAGAACACTTGCAAAGCTTTTATGAACTTTCCTCCGATGTTTAATTACAGTAGAAAGGCTGATGTTCCTCCAAATCAATATAGAGACTAAATCAAAAATCTTTACTTTCTATTCCTGTCTGCATTGCTACTTTAGGAAACAACCTCCTTTAGTGACAAATTCCATGAACATCCACTCCCAAAGACCAATGCTTGTTATCTTTTTTATTGTACTCATTATCAAAAGTGCTTTACACAAATCATAAATTTAATCTTTCTTATATATATATATAT